ACCCAAGGCAGCTGCAGATATTTTCCAGCGCCAAATGAACAAGTAAATGAATGAAAATCTGATGTGATACACGCATTGTAGTAAAAGCAGTAGTCGGTCCATGACGGTTTGAATTAGTCCAAATTCGCTGTTTAATTTAAAGGAGCAAGTTGCTCAGTCGACTTAGGACAAACTAACCGTCGAAGAACCGCGGATTCAAGTTCTGACCGCGTTGCACGATACAAGAACGGGAGACTACGTGTTGTGTTAGTTTAAAGTTGCTGACATTGCATCCTCACATAAGTTCTTCTGTCGGACAAGTCTGCGAGTTAGATCAGTGATGAACTTTACACCTCATAAGAGAGGAGAAAACTGGTGAATATTACAGAAGCGTAAGAGATGATGACGTCGAATAGAATACAAACTTTTGTTCTTTTCCTTCAAAGGAGATAAATTCTCATTTTTCCATAGCGGCCACTCCTCATCTTGTCGATGCGATGTGCAACTGCACTTTTAGTTTAATGTTAACAAAAAGCAGGCAAATTAATTTGCAACTAAAACTTTTTGCATGTCTAAACTGTATTAGCCATAGCCTATAGTAGCAACCAGTTTAAGGATTATAGCTCAGCGAAACACTGTGTTTTGTTGAAGAGAATCTGTTGAGGGACTGAAAGAAATGACACTGACGCCAGAATGATTCCTCCAGCAAGAGTCTGTTTGAAACAATGAAATAAGTGCGCCCGTACCTACAGAAACGGGTTACTTTTCTGAGCCTTACCATCTGCAGAAGCTAAAATTCACTCTTTCAGCAGACTGCAACTTCCGCTCACTTAGTGTACAAATTGTACAAATTATATATGCATTTTCTGTTATTTTCGTTGCTCCCGAAAGAGGAATGCTCTTTCACGGACAGAGAGTTCGTTCGAAGTCGCAAGATTATGTGCGATGGTAGAAAGATAAAAAGATTCGTCATAGTTTCAGTAATTTATGTGACTTCATGCATATAAAGGTTGACGTGACTAACTTCCTTAAGCCATCGGCAACTGCTGGATGGAGTCGAACGAACCGTTTCCATTGGCTGATACGCTAATTAGCTTTCGACTGTGGTCAGCGCTGGTCCTTAATGACAGAAAGAGCATGCTTCCATCGATGTTAAAGAAACGACGCCGTCGCATTGACCAATTAGGTACACTCCGTCTGGAAAGATAAGACGAAACCGCCCCTCTACACTCCACAAAACTTTGATTTGCCTGATTCGCGGTAAAATGAGGTGTTGCACTGGAACAAGCGAACCACGGTCAAACGTTGTCGTCATGCAGTAAGGAAAAAATGTTGTCGCTTTTTGTAAACGGTTTGGCTACACGGGCGATTACGAGTGACCGTGTGTTGCTAACGCAAGGCGGTGTGAGGACGATGGATGCTTTCATTTGACGGATACAGCGTGGAATATATTTCAACATTAACATCACACCGAAAAGAACAGTGTT